GAGGAAAAGGCTCCAATACCAAATTGTAAGCCACAAAGTTTTCCTTTCCCATTTGCCAACTTACCTCGTTTATCAGACCAACACAGCCTTGGCTTTATCTACGTTCCTTCGCCAAGGTTCCCGCCTATTGTACCAGCTCCTACTTGGTTTCAGCTACTCACTACACGAGCAACAAAGTGTTAACCATCCATTCACGGATTCCTAAATCTCTCATAATCCCCCTCTCTAGGTTAGATTGGACTTAAGGTTCAGTTACACTCTCTGCAAGCACAAGAAGCCAAACACATTAAGCGTCCAGGTTCCTCACATCCCTTGGTACAACAAGACTTGATCATAGGACTTTTTAAATCCCAAGCCTTGGGTGCAACACTTGCTTTGGGACGCCGGGGGAAAACACTATGGCCTAATGGCCCGGTATGTTGGTATTGGTACCTCTAACCCATAAGGGAAGGCCCAAGCCCCTAGGAAGGGTGAGGACCAATGAGCCACAAAGTACTCAAGTGGGGCACCACTCCACATGAGCCAGCATCACCACATTCGGTTTCCTTTCCGGGAGTGGGAACTACTCTTGAGCACTTCCTTGGGTGGCCCCTCCAACACCACCCGAGCCCATGCTCACTCCCACCCAAGGCCCCTTGGCCCCAATCTCAACCTCAAGTCAGTTTGGAGGCAACGTTGGAGAGTTCCTTCAAAACTGGTTCCTAGACCTCACTATCTCTATACTTTTGGAACCCCTGTAGTGCCCCCCCCCCCGGGGAGACACATGCTTTGGGCTTTCACTGCTCAACCTGTATTAGTATTTAGACTCGATCTCGGACTCGACCTCATACTCGATCTCGAACTCGACCTTGGACTCGATCTCGAACTCGACCTCGGACTCGACCTCGGACTCGACCTCGAACTCGGTCTCAGACCTGATTTTGTATCTCGGACTCTGTCTTGAACTCGGCCTTGGACTTGGTCTTGGAGTTGGCCTCGGACTTGATCCCAGACTCTATCTCGAACTCGGTCTTAGAGTCGGTCTTGGACTTGATCTCAGATTTGGTCCCATTCGATGAACTCTTTATCATTTCACTCATGCTTTCGAGGATCCTTTAACTCACGACACCTCGAGGAGTTGGTTCCTTACAGTGTGTTCCTCGAGGGGGGCAGGAGGGGGGGGCTATGGAGGGTTCCAAATGTATACTAATACTAAGGATAGTGGGTAAATCAGGCATGGTTAACCAACTTGAGGCATAGTTTAGTTTTTGCTTGCGTGCTTGTCCTTGTTCTGCATTTGACTTGAGTGTAAGCCCAAGCTCCACACGATGCTAGCTGGTGGAGTATCCATATCCTTACATTAAACCACTGGTATTCTGAAATAGTGCCAGACTCCGTTTGGCTGCATTTTGCAGGTTGGTCCTAGCATTGGGATGTTAGATGCTCTAGGACTATTTCAAGTTGCTCTATGCTCCTATCTCTTCGCTCTTTTAGGTATATGCTCAAGAGTTACTCCATGGTCTGGTTCCTTTGCTCCTTGGCTTCTACCTTAGGAGTTTGGCTCCGTTCCTTCGTTCAGTGGCCCAAGGCTCTGAAACATAGGTTTAATACTATTGTCCTTTGGGTATATGGCATATGACACGTGGTATACAACACATAGCACATGGAGGGTTTAGGTTCTGCTTCATAGTTATCCTATAGTAAATTACCATAGGATAAAAGGTAAAAACCACATGCACTACAGATTGTGGTGCAAAACCACCATTTATATCAAGAACTATGCAGTTGGCTATTGCATTAAGTAAAGCATATATTTCAATCCATTGAGTAGAAATAAAATGCAATGATGTATTGTGCCCTATGGAGGATTGTAGAAAAGACCTTTTCAAGTTGAAAATGACCAATTCAAACATAAGTGAAATTTTAATTGGTTCTAATGACCTATATATGGCATTATGGAAATATTAAACTGCTGATATTTTCCATAATTTTTTATATACTTAGAGATATCTAAGCACAGCTAAGGCCAAAAAAACTACTAGCAAACTCTCTCTAAAACTTTGTGATAGATATGTGATATCTATGAGTTAATATAAGACATAAGTTCTATTAATTGATACTTAACATAATCATCAATATACTTCAACATATCATCACCACCTAAATTTCTTAGCATACACAAAAAGTTGGGATTATTACAAGACTCACTACCATCAAAAACATTTTACAACCAGCCAATTTATCACTCTTCCCTTTGGGTAGTGTGCATCTTTGGTATTGGCCCCAATTGAAGGATTACCTCCACTCTTTAAGAATACATTGCTTAGCCATCATCAAGTTGTGAAGAGAAAGAGTGTGGATGATACACCATAACAAACTTAGTGCCATAGTGTAATAAGTTAAATGCCTTTGAAATTTTTTTACACTTAAGAATTGAAGTCACTACCATATGATTTGTTTCAACCAATGTATTAAATCTATAGAGATAGGCATAGAACTTAAAAATTCACATATCACTACCAAACACTCATTTTATATGGCTAAGTACTTCTTATGAGTAAATGACTAGTATAAGCAATAGGATGTCATTACCATGACATATCCCCAGATTTTTGCATCAAATTAGCACCTAAGCTAGCATTAGAGACATCTATTTAAAGAATAAATCTTTGTGAGAAATCAAGATATTGGAAGATTAGTGTTGTAGTCAATAATTGTTTAACCTTCATAAAAGCATGTTAGCAATGATGAGACCACTTATATGACAAATCATAGCAAAGAAAATCTATAATATTTTAAGAGAACTAAGAGACAAACCTTACCAAATAAGTGACCAATTTGTGCAACTTAGCAATATTCATCCACTAGACATATGTTCTTTGGATCTGGTTATACACCCTGAGTCTTGATTAAACTTGCATTTACTTCTCAAGTTGATGTAACACCCATTTCATATGACATAAGTGATCCTCCCAATAATTCATACACATTATCCATTGATAGTATGCATGATCAAACTTTTTAAACCCCTTGAGCATCTTGTCCATTATATGTTGAAATGTGGCAAAAGCCCTAATCAAACTCATGAAATCCAATAAGTATGTGAAAAGTAATTTTAGCAACATCTATAACATCCATTAGGATTTACCAATACTTTAATAAATCCAAGATTATGAAGTATCAATTATTGCCTAACTCATCCATCAAATCATCCACCTATGGTAAGGGGTAAAAGTCAAGTAGAGTGATATCATTAAAAGGCTAATGATCAATAGTGAACAATTTGGTACCATTAGACTTTTGTATTAAGTATAGCTTTATTGCTTAAGGATTATAAAACTCATAAGTCAAGCATTTGTCTTTTTATTAAGGTCGAAGTTCCATCTTGTGCAAAAACTATAATAAGTGTGCATATTAAATTATCAAGTGTTTATATTCAGTTGGTAGCCAAGACCAAGTCTTAAGTGGTAGAGTGGATTATAGTGAAAGATGATGACTCTTCTAGGAGAGGACACAATTATATAGGAGAGGAAGGAGATATCATTTATAACCTTGGGGGGGAATAATGAAGGATTTATGGAGAAAGAAGAGGACTATGGCAAGTAGTCAAGGCATCCATGACCTAGTCTCCAAGTACACTCAGCTTGAGTGTTGTCATGTTAGCCTTAGCATCTTTTAGTGCACTGCCTAAGAAAGGAGAGCATGTGAGGAGATTTAAGTGATAGCATTAGATAGACTAGGCTACCCACTAAATCCAGGATTGTCTCCTTCTAATAGTGTATATCCAAAAGATATAAAATAAAATTCATTTATATCTTAAAGAATATGAATGAAAACATGAACAATAAAGTAAAGAAAGAGAAGCTCGATATCAAGTGGAGCAAAGAAGCCACAAGTCTGAAAAAAGGAGTAAATAACCATTACTTAACAGCCCAATAACAGATACTGAGAAAGAATTTGAGGAGGATTAAGTGGATTACTAGTCTTTGCCAACACCAACCACAAGAAGTAGAGTAGTAGCAACAACCAGTTTAGCAACAACCCTATCAACAATAAGCAGAACAACCTCTACAGTAGCAACAAGTATTGATTATGGTAACAACAAATATAAGTATACCACCTTAAATGGTATGGGAGATCCAGACATGCATGTGACAGCATTCAAAAAGACATCTACAACAAACAACAAGGTAGTTGTAGTATACTGCCAAAAACTTTAGGCACATTACAAAGTGTAGCCATTGAATAAATAGCCTAGGTATTAGTAACTACCAACTAGGTAGCATTGCAACCTAGTATATGAGTACCAGTCGGTAGCTATTAGATTCAATGGTTATGTATTTAGTAGCTATTGATACCTGGGCCATCCATTTGATGGCTACACCCTATAATGTGGCTAGAAAAAGTTTTTGGCAGTTTTATACACTTGGTTTATTATTTACATTTGAGCATCATTCTTAGCTACATTTCAATTTGTGAGTGCTTATGATATGGGAATAAATGTATTAATTTGGTTTAGACCTCTAAACTAAATTTAGTTCTCAATGGATGCTTCATATACTATAGTACTATAATTAGTATGTTACAGGCAGGGTAATATATACATATACATATACATACATACATACATACACACACACACACATATATATATATACATATATATATACATATATATTATAAATTTAAAAATAATTATTTTGAGTTTTTGACATTTATTTTATTTACTTATAGTCTATTACAGAAATAATTCTTAAAATCTCTGATATTTTAAAACTTTATTTTAAATTTTTTAAAGAATTTTACTTTTTTTTAAAAAATTAAGTTATAATTTACATGGTTGAGAGAGTACTTGTGAAATATATAAAACATGCATTTTTTAAAAAACTATTAACTTCTATGATTTTTTTTATAATAATTCTAAACTACTGTTATATGTTATTTTCAGAAATAGTATTAATTTTTTATCTTGTTTAAAGTAAAAATGGAAGTTTTAAACTATGTCAAGGGGAAAATTTTAGGTCTGGCAAATGGGGTGGGGTTTAGCTGGTGATGTGGTCGTGCTAACCGATGAGCAAGAGATCCGAGAGCAAGAGGAAGATGGGGGCGAGATTCAAGCCGTGGAATCAGATGCGAGCGGCGCATTCGATGACCTGGAAGCGCTCCAGCTAATTCGCGTCCAGGGCCGCGACAAGCAGGGCAGGAGAATCGTGCGAGTCGTGGGCAAATTCCTTCACGGTGAGCTCACCCTACCCGATCGAACCCTGGCATTTATCTCCTCTCTCCTTTGCAGCGGCGATAATCGACGCGCAGCGATTGCAGCGCTTCGTGGTGCTCAAGCTTGCGCGTTTTGAGCTCGAGAGCTTCGTCATCGTCTACTTCCACACCTGCGTGCAGAGCGGCGAGAATTCCCCCGGTGTGAAAGCGCTGCACCAAATCCATGCCGCGCTCCCGGCCGCCGTGAGGCAGAAGCTCGAGATTGTCTACTTCGTCCACCCGGGCATTCGATCGCGTCTCATCCTCGCCACACTCGGCAGGATCTTCTTGAGCGACGGGTACGTAAATAAACTCCTGTGCTAATATTTCTTTTGTGTTTTCCATTGTTCTTGGCAGGCTCTACTGGAAATTACACTACGTAAGTAGAGTTGAGTTCCTGAGGGACTACATAAAAGACGACCAGCTTGAAGTTCCGGAGTTTGTGGAAGAACACGATGGGGAGCTCGAGAACAATCCTCTAGTTGACTATGGTATCTGTGTCGATCCCCTCCACGCCGAGTTGAAAGCCCATGACACCAGATTTCCATCCACGTCTGGAGCTTTCTTGTGATTCTTCAGCAATGGGATTATCCAGAAATATGACTAATCACATTATAGCTGCTAATATAGTGGCTAGTTGTGATGACTCTTGAAAACCTTTCTCTTCCTTAGCAAGTCATAATTCAGTAGCTCATAAATTTATTACATGAACATTTAATTTGTTATGCTTGGCAGCAATGCTTAATTTGTTTTATTTAGGATACTATGTCTCTAGAGTCTCATAAAGGTTTGCAACATAATACACTTCCTAATGTGTGTAAGATTTTTAGGGGTGAAGCATTGAGCAGGTCCAGATCACAATATCCAACAAAAACAACATAGTCTATATCAGTTCCTCTTTAACACAGCTAACTGATGTTACTACAAGTGAAACCATGTCACCTGCAACCATGTTTTAAAAGCCTTCCAATTTAAATTGTCCTGGAGTTCCATTCTAGGTATGCAGATCCTTGGCTCAATTAATCTTTATTTAATTGAGGTAGTTGTTTTGCATAAACCATAGTGTTGCAAAGTACCATCACCATGCAGTTTGGGCGGTGCCTCCTAGTGTTTGATCTTTGACTTGGTAGCAAAACCAACACACTTCATTTCTTCATGTCATTCAATCACACAGTGAGTTTGCTCAATCCAAGAGCTTACACCAGAACCATCTTTAGGAAACCATATATCATGCTCTGAAGATAAAGGTATATAGAAATAGATGATGGAGCTTTAAAGTAAATAGGGTTTATATTAGTTCTAAGTAGCGCTTACAAAATAATTTGAGAAAAATTAACTATTGGATTAAAGAATATTCTAAAATACACTTGCATTACATCTCCTTGCTAGGTTTTTTAAAACAAACCAAAAAGTAAATTTCATGAACATACACCTGGCTGTAGGTGTCCCTCACATTGCCTTATGGGGCAATTCAAAACTTACCTAGGAAATAAGCCAGCCATAAACATTACTATTTGATTTTTTGAGTGATAACTGATTAGTAAGAATATCATGCAATACTCTTACTAATCATGCAATACTTAAATGATTGAGGTTGGAAGCATTGTATTTGGTAAACTAGAGCTAATCCTGTGAGTATGAAACTTGATGTCCCCTTCATAGTAGCCTTTGAACTTCAAGATTTACACCAAGTTAAACCCAAGCTCTCCAACAGGTCTACCATAAAGCTTTGCACTGTCAAAATGCAATAAAGTTGAAAGTATGCTCCACAATGAAAATGCTATATATGTGAGGCATCATGATCTTTGTACATACCATTACATCCAACTTAGTGAGCCTCATAAAAAGTACAAAAAAGCTTACTGTTGAAAAGTTAATTGACATCCAATGCCGAATAAGTATGTTTTAAATTTCTTATTTTTAATAATTTTGTACTCTAATCATTTAACTATATAATTGTATGTTTTAAAATTTTGAAAAAAATTTCTGCTGAAAATATAACAAATAACAAATAATAAATTTATTAAAAAAGCACAAAATTATTAAGCCTAAAATATATTATTAATCAAATATTTTCTAAAGCATTACAAGCAGCAAAGTTTTATTAATATATGTATGTTTTCCTAAATTTATAATTTTTTGTGTTGTAAACTTCAATTTTAAATTTTTCTTTCTTTTTTCCAACACAAAATTATAATCATTAATGATCAAATTGCCATAAAAACTACATCAGATGAAAGAAATAATGACTTGGCATGAATATCCCATGAGTTTTTTCTATGTTATGAGCTTGGAATTGCTTCAAATGTGCTTCTGCTATCACTTTCTATGTATTCAGAAGGCATAAATTTTTGTGCCATCAAAAAGTGAAGTGTGGGCTGGTGGGCATGGGCATGTAAAATGGGGTTAGCATTGTCCTGTCATTAAATCCATAATTTAGTATGTTTGAAGAGTCTGAGATATTGTTATCTTGGAAGCGTAAATCTTACAAAAATGGAATGAAGTACAAACTCCAAGTTCCATTGGGAAAAAAAGGGAAATAGTAAAGTAGAAATTTGAAAGCTCAAGTAAACAACTTTTAATAGTTTATGTGATTATGATTACATGTATAAGAAAGAGAGCCCCGTCCAAGAAAGCCAAGAAAAAACCAAGCAAAATGAGGCTCGAAATCACGAAAAATCGGTTCGATTGCTCTGGATGCGTCGTCCTCTCGGCGATTAGAGGCTTTTCAAGCGAGAAACACCAATCCTGACGCAGGCATCAGCGGCATCCGACACGCAACCGTTAAAACCAACGGCAGAGAAACTTCAGGCTCAGTGGCACAAGCATGTTTCATTTCTTATTTGTTTCTCTTGAGCACTCTAGCTCGGCTATTGCTGAAGAAATTTTCAACCTGAAACATCACGAAAATTATAAACAAGAAAGAAACATCAATAATCTTACCTGTTTCTTCGTGATGCCCAAGTCTTGTGCAAACTTCTGTTTTTGTTCTTTGCTTGGATACCTGCAGGCATTCAAGCTTAGATCCTTGCAAGCCCAGAGATTGATAGAGCTTACGGGTTCTGCCGATTTGCATAGAGCCATGAAAGCATAACTTCAACTGCCTGTTTGGGCAGATTTCCCCTCGTTCCCGAGAGCTCTCGTCTGCGTTTTAGAGTTGTTGCCGGGGATTCCTGGCAAGGAATCTCCTCGCCAGCACTGTTGTCTTCGTCTAGCTCCATCACGAACTCTTGGAGATCATGCTCTTTGGGCAGGTTGCCCCTCGTGCCTTTCTCGCTGGCACTTTTGTCTTCGTCTAGCTTCATCAGGAACTCTTGGAGATCATCGTCTTCAAACTGGCCTGTTATCGGAAGCGTTCCTGGAAAACAGCACTGTGAGAAACTGGCACTTGGTGAGAAACTAGCAGAGAAAAATGGTGGTTACCCGAGCTTGCCATAGGTGATGATCAAGAGAGTAATGAAATATCATACATAATAGGGTGGGAATCGATTGCTAGCTCGATGGTTGCTCGAGCTCGGCTAAGAAAATGAACGGCCGCACCACCTGAGCAAGAAAATATCGCACCGAACCAATCCATTAATTAACACAATTTAATTCAGACGGCCTATGCGGCAGAATCGAAACCCGTCAATCCATCCTTGGAAACATGACTCGCGCGCTTTGGTTTCGGTCGTGAGTGAATCAGTGACCACAAAGATGCTGCTTTGCTATGATCAATTTTAAAAAGATGCAATAAGAAACGATAGTTAGCTGTTCTGGAGCTAAGAAAATATTTAGTTCAAAGTGTCTTTCATATACCACCATTAGGATGCTGGCAGTGGCCATGCATCCCCACCGCGATTGCTGTCGCCCCGCGAGCGTTCTTGGGGAAGTTTCTCGTCGGGACCGGCGTGGAATAGGCGGAGAGGATGTTCGAGTCAGCATACTTGCGCAATTTCCACTGCCACCAGCGCCACTGGAATTTTGTGATCTCTGCCTCTTGATCCAGCATGGCGAATCGATCAATCCGTGAACAACTGAGCCATACGGTGACCATGAGCATGCAAGCATAGTTCAGTGGATGAACTTGATCCGCCAGGAAGCTCATGCCCATGCTTTTCCTTCCTCTTAAGATTATAGCTAACCCGCTTGGTTCTCGAGTTTGATTACAAATCTTGCAAACCAAAAGCATGAAGTACCTTCATCTTATTGCAGCTGGTTTAAAAGAGCCGACTTCTCTTCACTCGAAAACGCACAGCACCTGGCCACTGGAATCTCCTCCTCCACAAGTGTGACAGGTCTGGAAATCAGTTCCAGCCAGAAAAACCACCACAAACTTGTGTTGAAGCTCTCTTTGACTCTGCTGGCTCGACCACCAAGCGCGTGTAAAAATATAGCAGCAAACGCTTTATGAATTTTGGTTCGCTTTAGGATTTTACCTCTGCATTTTGCATTTCTCATTTCCCGCTAAATTTTGAATTGCTTATGCACCCAGAGAAAAGAGACGAACTTCCAGCAATCGATCCTGCCTGCCTGCCCGTCCAACAAAACCAAGAAAAAGAACAAGCAAATTGAGGCTTGAAATCGCTCGTCGCGTAGCTCAGAATCATCCGCTTCGATCGGTCCTCTCGTCGCGACTGGGGCAATGCACATACACGTCAGATTTGATGGGCATCAAAACGGCAAATTCTTTATTGTGTTTTTTTTTATGTTAAAATCTCTAATTAAGCATATGGTTTTGTCTGAAATCAAACTCGAAAATTTAAAGAGTCACTAGAACTTTTGTGTTGAAATGTAGATTTTGTTTATGTATGTGCTTTTTCAGTACAAGTTTGTACATCCTTGCACAAGTTTATATATCCTTTCACCATCAGAGTGTGCCAAAGCTTACAGGTGTGGCCGGGTGCTCATGATCTTTTTGTGGAAATGTATGGTGGAAAAGCAATTATCACAGATCAAAATGTGCATCATATAAAATCATCATAAATAGCACCTGTCCATGTTCTATGAGCGCCTTGTTACATTGAGAAGTCTCTTAAGGTCAAGTTCTTCGACATCCAGAGAGCATTCCAGCAGGTTTGTACATTTTCTTGCCTTGTTCTCTAACAATCCAAGCAGATAAACTCAAGAAGAAAAGAAGAAGGTTCCTTTTGGAGCTAGCTCCTGGAAAAGATCAATCGACTGGTCGAGGGGTGGTCGCGCCCAAGTTTTCATCTATCCTGAAAGTTCTTGCTTCAAAAAGAATGGATGCTAGCTTTAGAAATTCCCAGTGCTTAGTGCCGTGATCAAACCAACCAGATGTTCTTCAAATCCTAGGACGAAGGGTAAAGTTCATGTGTACATATGGTGGCCGGATCATGATGAGTCCACAACTGCTACATCAGCTGCAGCACCCGGATCTTCCTCATCCCTGGACTATCTCTTATATGGAGTGGAGGCCACTGCGTTCTCTCCCCAGATCGAAAATATGACCCGTAGAAGCATAGCTCGGTTGAAAAATTGCTCTTCTCACCAACGATGGAAGAATGCTGTGGCTATTGCCCACAAAGCTTTCCTGGATGCAATAAACAAAACTTAAAAACATAGAACCTAATAGCATTAATAAAAAGTATATACTCAAATTGATGTACTGATTTTTAATGGCAAACAAAAAAGGAAAGATTACAAAGAAGTCAGTGGAAGAAATTTCTGACTTTTATCCATGCCTTTTAATACTTGTAATTTCAAAGAAATAAATTAAACTGTTTGAAATGTTTGAACATGAAAGGTGATGTCTTTGATAGACAAATAAAATTGGAATTTAATTTTCTTTAATTAAGAAATATTTATGGTTTATAATATTCCATAACATGCTCTCAGATCTAGTGACATTAGCCAAGAGCTAGATATGGTGGAAGTGAATGGTGACAATAATGAAGAATTTCACTTAGAATTACATGAAGCCATGCTTGTGTCTACAAATAGAATTATCTAATTGATTTTTATACACACACACACATGAGATAGATATAGATAATTTAAATTTTATTTAAGATCTTTATTTGAATTCAGTGATTATAATTTATACTTATAAAAAGACTTAGACTCCTTTTCATATTTGTTTTAAAATTTAATCTCATCCATTATATTTTTGATAAATAGACAAAATGAATATAAAACAGGTATATATTATTATCAGGTAATGGTTATTAATGTTAACCTTTAGAAAACCTGGGTGTAACGAATATTTCTAGAATATTCAAGATACTTTTAGTTAATTTATTCAATATCATAACTTGATATCAGAGTCACAGTTCTTTCTAAGCACGCTCTCCCTGGTGAAGGTGGCCAGGGGCCTCACATCCAAATCGCACCTCTCCACAAACTTCAGCCTGGGCGTCTTGAGCTTCCCGATCTGGAACCGGATCTTCACTCGAATCACCACCCGGAAGGAGATCCTCTGCTGCGCCAGCGCCCTCAGCAAGCTGGAGGCCACCGCCCGCGGCAGCACCACGCCGTCCGACTCCACGTCCTTCTCCACGCTCGCCAGGGCTGAGCGCTTGGCCTGCGAGAACCCCGCGAGCACCGCCTCGCCCACCCGGATGTCGTCGAAGAAGACGTTGAGGTGGATGTCATCGAAGAGGATCTTGAGGCGCGTGTTTGGATTGGCCACGTCGAGGATCAAGCCCAGGTCCGCCTTGAGGAGCGCCGTGGAGAAGAAGGTGGTGGGCGAGGCTATGACGGCCCCGAGGTGCCGGACGGCGATGTCGCGGATGTGGACCTTGGGCGATTTGGGGTGGAAGGCGATGTAAGTGACGAGCAGCAGGCACGCGAAGAGCAAGCCGAGGACGAGGAGAATGGTGATGATCCATGTCAGGATCGCGATGGCGGGATTGGGATGGCATAGGTACCTGGAGGCGAAGTTCTTGTGGGCGTCGTGCTCGTCTTGTTGTTCCATTTGCTCCTTTGATCTGTCAGTGTCTGTGCTCACTCCTGTTTGATCCAAGTGATGTGTTTGGCGGGGAAGGTGCCAAGGCATCAGTGTGTTTGACGCATTGTGAGCTTTAAGCAGTTTGCTTTGATCTCAATCGAAAGCATAACTTTACACTCGGCAACAAGAGAGGAAAGCAAAATGTTACAAACTCTCTAGTTTTTTAATTTGTTTGTTAGATCTTTGTTTTCCTGTAGAAGCATAACACTTCGTGTTTCTCAAAAAACTTTTTCTCGAGCATTGTGTTTGAGTTTTACACTCCAGGATTGCCAGAGAAACAAATTCTTTCATTTGTGTTCTCTCTCCATACTTGTCTTTCTTACGCTCCAGAGATCGTCTAGATCGTAGATGATATTTCTACTAGATGATCGATGGGAGGTAAAACTCACAGCTTGGAGGTAAACAACGATAGCCGCGAGAAGAACTTGGTGTGATGCCCACTCGCCACAATCTCGCCATTCTTCCCAGCTCTCCTCACCTCGGCCGATAGCATCACAACGTTCTTCCCCTTCTTCAAAACTTTAGACTCGATCTCGAGCTCATCCTGGGAGAGAAAAGGAAACCAGTTTAAGTGTTCTTGGATCCTTGCTCTTGACTCCAAACTCACATCGATCCTGGCGGCCGAGACGTAAGTGATGCTGAGGTCGATCGAGACGCCCGTGTTAGTGCCACCCACTGTGAGCACCGCCATGGTGCTCACGCAGTCGATGAGCGTGGCAATGGCTCCACCGTGGAGCGTTCCATATCCATTCTACAAACACAGTTATACCGGAGAGGGGATCACGGATCTTACTACATACGGCGAGATTGGCGGGCACGCGAATGCCGCAGACGATCCGGCCTGCGTCGGCGGCCTTGATCTCCACTCGCTCGAGGACACCCGCATCAAAGCCACCGGGAGAGCTCCTGAGCGCCTCCAAGACTGCACGGCCTGCTGCCAACGCCATAGCTGATTAGGGCTCTATTATAATTCATATTTACTTTTATCCAGGTCCTTTACTTTTAAAAGTAAACTTTTGTTTTATAGAAAATATAATTTTCAAGCTTAAAAGGCAGAGGGAAAACGTTATTTGTTTAAGTTAACTTAATTAATGTATTAATATACTGTTTTAACCTTATTTTAACCTGCTCTTGTCAATGGCGGCCATAGTTTTCTTTAGTTTTCTTTGGCGACATTTACGTATATGCGCGAGGCCTTGCACGATAAGTCGTAAAACTGGACCTGGCCTCACCTCAACTCCACATAAATAAAAAAGAAGAAATCCATTCATTCCAACACAGTCACTGTTTGTCTGCTCAATGGCCAGCGAAACATCCAAAGGTACGTGTGTAGTAGAAAGAACTCTCCCAAATCCTTAAAGTTGACGACTCTCATGCTAGATGCTCGAGCCGACCACGCGCGTTTCTTCTACTCCTACATTCCTGGAGTGCAGCAGTACAACGATTCGGGCTCTCGTGCCGACAGGGACCTCTCGGCCTGGAAGCCAGCGCTCAAGAATCCACTCCCCCAGTATCTGGGACAAACTCCCGCCGCCGGCCACCTCCAAAACTACTTCGTCCCGGCCTTCTCCTTCCTCTCGGGAGCCCAGGACACCATCGCTGTTCTTGGCGGCCCCCAGTGGTGGGAGCAAATCTGGGGCAGCAGCCGCGCCGACGACTACGCCGTCTGGGGGATCAAGAAGGACAAAGTTCCCATCGGCTTCCACTGCCTGTCTCCGGCCTTCTTCAAGAAAGATCGTGGACGAGCTCCTCCCACCACCTCGGAAGTTCAAGGCCAGGTCCTTGTCAAGAGCGATCTCGTCGAGTTCATCGATGCCGAGGCGCTGGTGCTCGTCTGGAACGACCGCGGAAGCGGGGCCAGCCAGGATGTCTCCATCTACACCTTGCCGGATCATCTCGGAGCTTTTGCTTTCCCGAACTATGGTCCTCCTCCCAAGGGGACGTCGTACCCGATGATAAATCTCAGCAAGGGCCTGCTTGTCAAGCCCCCAAAGTGAAAAAGGCTAGCGAGAGCGAAGGTGACTCGGGCAATACAAACGAAAGTTGTGTGAAGTATGTGTGATGGAAATAAGACAAAAACGAACTTACAGGCGTGATTCTTTTCCTATCAAAGTCGCGTTAACTACATACACAATCTGGAAACTGTGAGATAGTTCTTCAGGAAGCGAAAACACAAAAAAGACATACCTTTTAATCTTCTTCTCAGTAAGATTTTGGCCTTTTGCCGACGAGAATCCTGGAGATCTGGAGGCCTCTGCTGAAGGCCTGGTTGAAAAGGATCCTCGTCTGCATTGCCTGGAATCCTGGCAGCCAAGATAGAACCGCGGTCGGAACCATGACTAAGATCCCAATGCCGAGCTCGTAGAGGCGAGCCACCGTCACCACCGTTGGCCACATTCCTGTTCTCTCGAGGAAAGGCCTTCGCAGCACCTGTGCAATCTGTAGCAGTCCCCAACCAGTGGGGAGGAAAGCCAGCAAGCTGACGATCAAGTCCAAGAATCTAAAGCTTGTAAGCTCGATGAGGACGATGAGCACCAGCACCGAGAAGAACAACGCGAATGCCTGGATTGCTCTGTAAGTGAGGTGCTCCCTCGTCGCGTACTTCTCGTGAGCGAAGGATAGTATCTTATGAAGCAAGAACGCCACCACGACGTATATCCACGAGAGGAGATAAACCAATATACTGGTGCTGTGGTTCGCGATGCCAAGCTGGTAGACAATGCCGTATTGGAAGAAGAAGAAGCGCAGGGAGAGGATCACCTCGAAAACTTTTCCCCATATGCCTGTCGTTCGCAAATGATCCTGCTCTTCGTCCCACCAAGATTCCCAGCTCTGGTCAGCCTTTACCAGGACCCCTCCTCTGTAGAACACCCAGTTGAAGAAATCCTCGTAGTCGTCCACGGTTTTGAGCCAGTCGAATCCCGACGGGTTGAAAACGAATGGTGCCAGGATCCATGTCAGTGCCAAGAACCAGCTTGAGAATGTGAGAAGAATGTAGACCACTGTGTCCTTGCTGAAGGAACCGTATGCCTCGTAAACGACCAGGAGAAGGGCGAGTTCGAGGCCTTTGATGAAGTGGCTTCTTGAGTAGAGCCTGTAGTTCTCCGCAAACCGCTCGTGCTTCACAACAAATCCTCGTCCGGTTGCACGATACTGCATCCAGAAAAACAACACTATTAAACGGCAAGCCACACAATGCGTAAAACTGAATTACCTTGGCACCGCCATGAAGAAGAGTTCTTCCAAAATAGTGAGTCTTGGTGCCCATAGAAAATGTGAAAAACATAGAGGCTAGTTGAAGCTGGATAGTAAAAAAGTCCCAGACGGCCTTTGAGAATCCTCGCTCAATGGAGTTCTCCACAATCATTGGGAGCGCAGTGAAAAGTCCCAGCTGCACGATAAACTGCTGATTCAGTGCTGCCGTGAGAGCGCTGTTACTAGTTGAACTGGACAGAAGTCCACGCTCAACTCCGCTCAAAGCCAGATATACTCGGCCCCAGAGAAAAGCATACACCGTCAGAACCACCATCATGTTGTTCAAGTAAAACCCGACTGTTGTGTAGTAGAAAGAAAGCATGCGGAAAAAGTCCAGTCGGTGTCCAAGGCGATAAACATCCCGGCTCAAAGTTTGTTCACCGTTGCCACTGGCCACCTTAGCCTCAAATAGAGCTATCTGATTTAATCCAACATCTCGACCCTTGCCAACCTATACAGAAGACATGAGGTGTAAGTATGTCACTGCTAAAATAGCCACAAACCTGGATGTATTCGTGGTGAGTAACGTTTCCTCCCCTGAGAGTGCAGTTAAAACCCGCAAAAATGTCCTCGCTGATGTTGATAACTCTCGAAGCCTTGCTAATTCCACCTCGGGAGATAAACCAGAGCCTGTCGAAGACGTCTGGATGCCCGTAATGCATTCTCACTTTGAGTGGATTAGCTAAGACTCGCTGGCCAAGTGTAACAAAACTAGTTTCTTGAGATGACATGAAATGCGCGAGTGAGGAGACTGATCCCGTAAAGACATGCTCACGAACTCCAAGAATAGTAGGCTTTCGCATACCATAATAGCGCGTGAACTCTTGGAGCAAGTTTCGCATTTTCAGCGCTTCTTCAAAATAGTTATCCTGTAAAAACGGAGAGGCTTAGCACAAATATGTCTAATATTATAGAGCATACCTGATTCATGTCAATCGTCTGAACAGCTTCGCCTCTGGTAAAGATTAAAGCGTGGTTCTGGTTCTCAGGCTTCCCTTCGCCTAGCTTTAGTGGACCAGGTAACTGGATCCTGTAAATCTCAACCTCTTGATTGCTGGCAGGATCGTATTTAACGAGAACCGAGTAGAAAGTTTTCGCGTCTCGTCCCGGAACCTCGTCCACGTATGCAATGCGCAAAGCTTCGAACTTCTGCATGAGGAAAAGTATCTCTTCTGCCTGGTGTTCGTTCTTGGCTTTCTGGTTGCCATATATCTGACAGGCCACCACGTACGTGAACTTCAAGCTTGACGCTGCTCGGTATTGCTCCTCCTTGTAAAGCGAGCCGCTTTGTCCGTGACCAAACGAGTCTCGGTGTACGTGTGACCCGTTCCTACTATCGTCAGCCATGCTTGACGCCCGCGACAGCATTTCACGGTAGCCGTGAAGATCATTTTCCGATGCCGAATCTAGAAAAGCTTGAATCTGCAAAGCTCTGTATAAACAGGCTGAGCACCAACCAATCAGCAGAAACATGTGCGACAAACCTGTTGTAGTACATCATTCCACGTACGGTACGTGCGAGAGTCTGGCCACGGTAAGAGGCCCAAAGGCGAAGTTCCAGACCTTTGTCCGCAGTCCACAAATCAGATTCTTTTATGCCAAGACTGCTCATACGTTCCAAGAAGTTGATCCACTCGTCTTCGTAACAAAAACAAAAAAGAAAAAGAAAGTTCAGCACTTGCGTCTAGAAACAGCAAAGCAGAAACCTGGAAATATCTTTTGGAGGTAAAACAGAATTGAGACTCCCTCCTCATTTTCATCAAGGAGCTCGTTCTTGGTGTACAAAACGGATTCGCTATAGTAGGGTGTTAAAACACTAAAGGACAACATCTTTTCCACCTGTGAAAGAAGGAAGTAAGCTAAACAAGATTTCAAGAAACACTCACCTGAGGAGCGCGAGGCATTGTCATAAAGAGAGAGTTACTGAAAAAGGAAATGCGTCGCCTTGCTTCCAAGTTGTGCGGAACACGTGAAATAGACTCTTTAGTACTTAATACAATGTGTACTCGTTTCAGCTGAGGGAAGAAATCGTTGTCTTCAGGGTCTGGTAGAATAATAGACTCAACGAAAGGAAGTGGTTGATCATTTCTCCGCGGTATTAAATAGTCTTGAAGACCTTTGTGCTTTGGAAAATCGCGCACTACAACATCAAATAGATTTTGTAGAGCCGTTACTACCTGAAAAACATGCTTTTTACAAAATTAAGCACGGAAATAACTCGGGCAAACCTCTTTCGTGTCCTCCTGAGTCGGCCTTTTTAACAATGCTGCTATCAAAGGCAATACCCGCGAGTGAATGTTAGGAAGCTCATAAAGGTTGTATTCGTTGCAAAACTTCCCCTGGCTAAGAGCGCTGTCGATCTGTTCAAACAGGCGAGTCAGGGTAGCGTGATCTTCGCTTTCCTCGTTGATAATTTTGCGAAGAAGTATATGTTTCAGGCTTTCATAGCATTCGATCACAGCGGATGGACGGAATTCGTTTTTACAAATCTTTCTCCACAACCTCCTGTCAGTATCCTGCCAATCTCTAGCTTGCCCAAGAGCCATTAAAATCTGAAGATGAAGTTCGTAAAAGAAAAGAAAAAAATAAGATCACATACGAACTAATGTACCTCGTTTCCCAATAAAAACGCTGGCCATTGCAGCACAGAGATGTTCCACTTGGGAGTCGGAACTTCCAGCAAATTGATTTCGCTACAGGTAAAAAGATTAGTAGCCGCACGTAACTACTGCTAATACCTGTTGGAAACCAGATCTTCCTCTCTGAAGGTGTTAATAATTTGATTCCAAACGTGCGCAAACCGCCGCTCTTCTATTTGTTTGGCCTCAATCTGTCAATACTCGTTAGAACACTACCTATTGCAACTGTTTATTACCTTCTTGTAGGGAGACCCAAATCCGTAACGAAGTTTTAACCTGTGCATCAAGTCTTTAAATGCTGCCGACCAACTTCCCCATAACCTGCATGCAAGTTCTCCCATTAGAACAGTGGGCAAAATTACAGAAAACAAGTACCTGGGCCTTAAGAGTGATTCTTCAGGCATAAGGTTGAACTGAATGGCACTAGCAAAGAAAGGAAACCGCAATCTGAATTGATGGATGCTTCTGATCTGAAGTGTAACAACAATGAATGTGGCAACTTCTTCAAAAGAGAGCGCATACCTCACCAATATGTGAAAATAGGCCAATCAAGGCACCAACTAATGACGAGAACACAGAGTACCAAATTTGTGTGTCCATAAAATAAACCTGAACTAACTCGGTCAATTTTATATTCCAAGCAGAAAAGAGACGTACCAGCACAACCGGAGCCCACAAACATACCGCTGCAATACGATTTCCTGTAATATAAACGGAGTAAGCTTGCACTCTAAAAGTCTATCATCAGCATACCTCTTCCAAAGAACTGGTGCCACCTGTATTCGACGTTTGTAGTCCGAAGTGTGGCCCTTGTTGGTCGCACTAGTGGACTGATCTGTTTTAGAAAAAAAGAAAAAAACGATTACAATGGCTTCTGATAAAAATGTGGGGCACCTGGAATGCGTAGCTAAAAGAAAACTTAGCCGCCAAAACCATTATCCAGAATAATGTGTACCTGATTTTTATCACAAAACTCAGCAGTAGGAGGAATCCAGAAATACTCACTTTATGTTGTCATAAAGGCTCTCACGTAACCCACGGCCGACAAAAAGCCTCGTCTGCATTATTCGAATCAGCAAAGGCTCCGTATTTGAATTCAGCAT